TGTATGGATGGTTTTGGTCAAGAAACACTTGAGGAAAAATGGAGTTTGAATGCAAGAATCAAAAGCTAACAGGTTTTGTATTTTGTGTTTGTAGTTTTGAACTCTTGGAATTTTAGCAGGGGTTCAAGGCTTTTTCTTTCTCAACTTTTTGACCCTTTTACAGTTGCCAATAAAGTCCAATTTATAGGCAAAGGTTTAGTCGCTTGGAGAGGTCAAGGGGTACAACCATCATATTCTATGTGCTGACTTATTCTTGAAGTAAGTTCAAATAGGTATGGTGGTTAGCAGCTTTAGCCGCGCCTAAGCCGAATTTGTAAGCAGGAATTAAGGAAAGGTAACCTCAAAAGAAAGAGCAACGCATGGGCCCAGCACACTCTTGTACAAAAGTTGGCTTTTCTAAGACAGTAATGGTACTTCTATGCCACACGTGGGGAAATACTTTGGATAAAGACCCAAAAGTGGTTGTGAGCATTAAATGATGATGAGATTTATCAAACCAGAAATCCTGCAATGTGAGATTCTGCATCATTGCTTAATTCTGAATCAGAACTTCAGCTTCAGCGTAACTTAGGATAGTCATCCAACTCCTGATCTTTGTATCTCTTTGCTCTAGCATATTCTGAAGGAGTTCTCATACTTTCTAGGAAGCCTGCAACATGCTTTGTAAACCTTCTTTGAATTATCCTTTCCAACTCTGACTAATACTTTGTGAAAACTGGTCCAGAAGTTGTAACCAAACTCTGTCTTGGAACTGTCCAGAGTTTGCTGAATGTTTCAGTTTCAAGGACGTGTCTTTGAGGAGTTACAACTTGAAATCCCAGCATTCCTAGGAGAAGCTCTGTTCTGCAATATTTCAGATCTTGTTGGAGTATATAACTCTTGTGTTATAAGTTCTTCCAGAATCAACTTCTATCATGGTGATAATCTGATCAGAAGTTCTGAGCTTGTCATATTTCTTAAACACTTAGAAAAATTCTAAGTATTTAGAAATTTGACTTTTCCAAAGTAATTTGACCTTTGAAACAAAACTCACATTCCAACATGTCTTGATGAAATATGATTCTTGAAACTTGATTTTGATCCAAAAGTCAAGGTTTGACTTTTCAGTATGCAAATGACCATTTTGCCCTTATGAATGACTTTCTTGGAAAATTTGTAATTCAAGGCTTGAAATTGGATGGAAGCAAACCTGAGGGTCCAGGATGATCCTTTGAGAAATGAGAGGGCAAATTTTGGGGTAAAACAAGAAGTAAAAATGAGGATAATATGAAACCTTTCTTGGATGTTACTTCTAGGTGATATGCCCTCAATGAGGACAACAACTTTTTATTATGACAACTAATGTTTAATAATGATAACTAGTCCTTGATGACAAGAAACAAAGTCAAGCATAAAGAGGTTAAAGCGGTGAAAGATGCTAAATAAATTATTAAGGTTTGATGGACTTAACTATCTAATGATGGAAACCAAATGGAAAATGTTTTAAGCCTCATCTTTAACTCAAGAAAGTGTCTACAAAGATTAAGCATTTGACAAGTCTTGAAGTATATGAAAGTATGAAAGCCCCGCCTCAATACATCTGAGGTAATTTATTGTAAAAGCATAAGGGCATTCTCGTAAAAGTGCATGGCTAAATCATACACACATAAAGTAGTTTTCAAAATTATTTTTCTCAAGAAAATATTTTCAAAAATGCCTTGAAGTTGTGTCAGATGAGTTAGGAGCTGTCAAAAAAACACTTGGGGAAACTTTGTGTCTTGGTCAATCGATTGGAACCTTAACCCAATTGATTGGGTCAATTAAAATGTGCCCTAAGTGATTAGGACAATATCTCAATGAGGTGTAACAGTTAAATATCTTTCCTTTCCATTTTGAACATAGTAATTGATTAATTTGAAGGCAACCAATCAATTGAAGTATGTTGCCAATCGATTCATAAGTCATAAAAGGCCATAAAATTCTTTCATTTTTTTGTGCCAATATCTATCCTAGAAATAGAGGTCATTTACCACTCTTTTCAACATCCAAAAACGTGATTTCATTTCTCAATTCTCACACTCACTCTAAAAATTCTTTCGTCTACTTTCTCTAACTAAAAGTTTAGCCACGATGCTTTGCGAGAAGGTAATTTTGCGAGTAAAGAAACTGTAACTCTGGAATGACAATTTTGTAAGTTCACCAAAAAAGTTTGTTTTTAAATTGGTTGAACACTTTATCCATTTAGAGATTGTTTGTTTGGGTTTGAGCTAAACCCGTGAAAAGCTTTTGTTTAGGGATTGTGTGATCAAGCCTCGGTTTAGGTTCTTGGTTAACTCGTGATAGAACTAAGTTTGGGTTCAAGTTCAACCCATGATAAAAGCTTGTTTCGATTTGAAATCAAATTGGTGGTAAAATCTCACATTCTTGGTTAGTCTGGTATTAAACCGAGTTTTATTTTGTGAGCTTAGCCCGATGTTAAAATCTCTCAAGGTTCAAGATCAACATGTGATAAAATCTTTGTTTAAAGCTTGAAGACTAACCGCTCCAAGTTTCTTGTGGAATGGAGAATAACTGCTTCAATCCACAATTTAGAAATCTTCCCCTCTAGCCATACCAAGTTACATTTGTTGAGTTTTCACATTCTAGAACCAAAGTGTTTGTCCTAATCACAACCATCAATCATATTCACAATGATCAAATTAAAGATGACATCTAGAGCATGTTTGAAACCTCTAAGCAACAATTACATTCCCATGTTGGTTTACATGCAAACATCACCAACACCAATTACTTTAGATATATTATCATTACACATTTGCAACACTCCAAAGTCCCCAAAAGTATACGATGTGAAGAACTTCTTCTTTGGTATAACATGCAATGTAATATCACTATCAACTATCCACATGCCTTCGTCTGATAACAAGATCACTGAGAATAACAAGATCATCACTAGTGGTAGTAGTAACACAATCATCATCATTATTTTCATGATCTCTTTGTTTAGACTTTACCTTTTTGCCTTTGTTATCCATTTTCCACTGATAACGATACTTTGTACGTGTCTTGTTTTGTGACAATAATGGCACTCCAGATTCTTGTATCACAACTTAGACTTGCTTATGTTATTATCTCTACCATCCTTCGGTTCTTTTTTTTTAACTTCTCCCCTATTTTCAGTGGCAAGTACATTAGATTGAAGTGAAGAACCATGTGTCTTCCTTCTCATATCCTCATTAAGAATACCACCCTTAGTTATTTCCAAATAAACAATACCTTTAGGAGAAGAACTTGTGATAGAAACCCAAAACGTCACCCAAGACTCTGGTAAAGATAACAATAGACATAGTCCCAAAAGTTTATCATTAAAATTGATACTCATTCCCGACATCTGATCGAGAAGTCCTTAAAATTCACTCAAGTGATATGAAACATAAGTTCTCTCCTTATACTTCAAACTTATGAAGATATTGAACAAGAACAATTTAGTATTCCCTAATTTTGAGGCATACAATGACTCTATATTCTCCCACAATGTTTTTGCATGTGTTTCATTATAATTATAACATTGTCTTCTACATATTGTCGAATAAAACAACATACTTGTAGATGTTCAAACACTCATTCTTCACCTGACACAAAATATGGCTTTGTAGAACTAAACCCCAATAAATTTAATTTCTTTGTTTTTCATCTTGTCATTCCACCAATGGTAATTAGAATCATTCAACAATATCATCTTTATATTTGTATTCGACTTAACTATTCAAACAACTAAAGCCCATAACCAAGAGCTCTGATACAAGTGTTGAGTCATCATGAAGGAGAAACATCCACATTAGGTCAAACATTCACATAAATATCAAAGACTCATCCAAACATATGTGAGAGACACCGAATATTCACCAAAAATCCGAAGACAGAGGGTGTATGGGTCATCTCACTTATAAAGTAATCAACCTCCACTTTTATAAACAACGTGAGACTTATACCATTCACATCTATTTCATAAAAATTATTTTTGAGATTTAACTTTTTGAAAAATTTGTGATTATGAATATGCATTGACCTTTAATAATATGTTTCTAATTAATCTCATTTAAAAAATTTGTAATATTTTAAAAAGCTTATGTATAGAATTATTTTTCAAAAAAAGAAAAACAATTTGAAGTTAAACTAACGGGCCAAGTAAAACAAGAAATATTAATATTTCAAACATTTCTACCGTTGAACTCATGGTGGAACTAATCAAAGATTCATGGTTGTTTTAAACAAGAGGGCTAAAAGTTTCCATGCAATGACAGTAACTAACATACACTATATCAAATGCATTTCAAGTAACTTTACCATATTGACAAGTAATTAAGCAGAGTTAGTTTATTAATTCACCAAGAATATGATCGTATAAACTATAGCAATAAAGACAATTAATATACACTATGTCAATTTTTATTCTATAATCCAGAAATATGGCTGTTTGGAAGAAAGAAACAAAGATATATAATTAATTAATTGATCACAATATATAAGACATTAGAAAACTCTTGCAATTGGCAATTAATTTGACTTTATAAACTGTTACATATTTAGATTTTCAAACGTGCTTGCCATTTCCTCACTACAATCAGCACGAAGCCTTCTCTGACGCGTTTTCAATAATATTTGTGGTTCAAGAACTCATTCAACGTTACCTAGCAATGATCACCTACTCTCTTCAATGACTATGTTCATGTCCTACATTATCTCATATAGTTGAAAACCACAAAACATTAATTTTAAAATACAGAATGATGGTATGAACGAAGGTATAGACTGTACACCATCCTTGAAAGTTTAAACAATAATATGATTTAAAAACATACCGACAGCCTGTATAATGCATTTGAAAAATTCCAAAATCTTATAATTTATGTTTGGGCAAACACTATATAAAGAGTTCTTAGTACAAACTTAAGCAATCACACTAACTAGCAAACATTCTTTCAAGGAATTCACTAAAGTAATACACAAAGTCAGAGAATATGGGAACCTCAGTTGGGTTGAGGCATTGGCCTCAACTCATTTATGCAATTGCATTTTTCTTAATTGCAAGCAGTGTTGCGGCTGATGATGATGATGATAAGCCTTACTATGAAAGCCAACCAAAAAATTACTATCCAACACCATCAAGTCATGGACAACAACCACCATATTATTTCAAACCACCTCCATATTACTACAAGTCTCCACCTCCACCATCTCCTTATGTCGACAAATTTCCTCCATATTACTATAAATCTCCACCTCCTCCATCACCATCCCCGCCACCACCTTATGTCTATAAATCTCCTCCACCTCCGTCACCCTCTCCTCCCCCACCATATATTTATAAGAGTCCACCACCACCCTCTCCATCACCACCGCCTCCATATGTTTATAACTCACCACCACCTCCTTCCCCTTCACCTCCTCCGCCATATATCTACAAATCTCCACCCCCACCATCCCCATCCCCACCACCTCCGTACGTTTATAAGTCTCCACCCCCTCCATCACCTTCACCCCCTCCACCATATGTCTACAAGTCTCCTCCTCCACCATCCCCTTCTCCTCCACCACCATATGTTTATAAGTCACCACCACCTCCATCCCCTTCACCTCCTCCTCCATATGTCTACAAGTCACCACCTCCACCTTCTCCATCTCCACCACCTCCATACGTCTATAAGTCCCCACCCCCACCATCACCTTCACCCCCTCCACCATATATATACAAGTCTCCACCTCCACCATCTCCATCTCCACCACCTCCATATATTTATAAGTCTCCTCCTCCGCCATCTCCTTCACCACCACCCCCATACGTGTACAATTCTCCACCGCCTCCATCCCCCTCTCCTCCACCCCCATATCTCTATAAGTCACCACCTCCACCATCTTCATCCCCACCACCTCCATATGTTTATAAGTCTCCTCCTCCTCCTCCACTTTCACCTCTTCCACCATACGTCTATCAATCTCCACCTCCACCATCACCTTCACCTCCTCCTCCATATGTCTACAAGTCACCACCTCCACCATCCCCTTCACCACCTCCTCCATATGTTTACAAGTCTCCACCACCACCTTCCCCTTCTCCTCCTCCACCATACTATTATAAGTCCCCTCCTCCTCCTTCTCCTTCACCTCCCCCTCCATATGTGTACAAATCCCCCCCTCCACCATCCCCTTCACCCCCACCTCCATATGTTTACAAATCTCCACCTCCGCCATCTCCTTCACCCCCTCCTCCCTATGTCTATAAGTCACCACCACCTCCTTCACCTTCACCACCTCCTCCATATGTTTACAAGTCTCCACCACCACCTTCCCCTTCTCCTCCTCCACCATACTATTATAAGTCCCCTCCTCCTCCTTCTCCTTCACCTCCCCCTCCATATGTGTACAAATCTCCCCCTCCACCATCCCCTTCACCCCCACCTCCATATGTTTACAAATCTCCACCTCCGCCATCTCCTTCACCCCCTCCTCCCTATGTCTATAAGTCACCACCACCTCCTTCACCTTCACCACCCCCTCCATACTACTACAAATCTCCACCTCCACCTTCTCCATCGCCTCCTCCACCATATGTCTACAAGTCACCACCACCACCTTCACCTTCACCACCACCTCCTTATATTTACAAGTCTCCACCTCCACCATCTCCATCACCTCCTCCATATCATCCCTACCTCTATAACTCACCCCCACCTCCAGTCTATTAATCTTCTGGCTAAAGTCGTGTGAAATTTTTTAATAAATTATGTCATACATTGTTGTTATTAATTTGTATTTAAACTTCTATTTGTTAATAAAACAATCTACATTGGATTAAGAGCTAATTTTGGTTCTATTGTAATTGTTTATGTACTGTGCTAATTCAGAAGTCTATATTATCTATTTCCTTTAGTTGTTTTTGTGTTTTACATATTGTTATTTACTTATAACTTCATATAACATCAACACACAAAATTATATATTGTTAAATTCTTGTTTGTCATCAAATACTATTTGAATATTTAATCTAGTGAAGTCTTGTTACCATTCATATGCATAAGACAAATATATACTGACTCAAAACAAATAAAAGTATACCAAAACAAATTAGTAGACCTATAGTAGATTAACAATATCATTAGTGCAAATTTCACTCAATCAATCAAACCTACATATAATAATTGTATTGGTTGTACCAAATAATAAAACTATGAGTTTAGTATTGTCTCCGTTGAGATTAGATTCTTAAGAATTACACAATTTTGACTGAATGAAGGCTGAAAAAGTGGGTAACATATGAGTTTGCATTGATGAAAAGTAATAGATATCCTTCAAGCATATGCTATTATATGCAATGTATGTAATTGATTAAACGAATGAACATAATTGAAATCATAAGAATCAAACACAAACAGTTTGATCTATCTTTTATAAAAAAAATTGAGTCAAGAAGTGAATGGAACTCAAGTAATTAGCCATCATTTACCTACAATGAAGTGAATAGAACACATATTTGGTTCCCTAGCAAGAACTTTGGGCATTGGAGAAGCCTGAATATGTATTAAATTGGCATATTCTACTTGCAAAAAGTATGTAAAGAAAAATTAGTATATCATTTCACCTAAACAGTAATGCATCATCATTGAATAATTGTAAAGAAGATAAAAAAACAAAAGAAAACCATTTACATTGAAAATCATAGGTAGAAAATTACTCCATTGAGCAACATCCATCTTCGCCGCAACCTCGTAGTTTTTTGGCAGTAAAATCTCTAAAACCAAACTTCTGTCGGCCTTCAGAAGTGAGATTGAGCTGACGCGTTCGTGCACCCCCACTTTGCATTTTGGAAAGCTAGGTACGTGTAAAGGTTTATCCCTTTACAAACGTTGAATGCAGAAAAGTATAGATAATAAATGAAATATCCCTTTGAATAGCAATTATTAAAAAACATAAATCAAGTGAATACAATGTAAAATAAAAAGTCAGGAACTATTAGAAAGATAGAAGAAGATTAAGTATAAAACTTAATCATCACTCTCAAGAGAGTAACAAAGGGGAGAGAGGAATGATTCATCAATTTTCTTCCATGTCTTTGTTGCCAATTAATGCTCCCTTTTATAGAAGGATAAGAGAATATTTCTTGTTAACTTTATTCTCTTAATTGCTGGATCAAGTGACATGTGTCTCTTTTCTCTATCCATTTTAGTGATTCACTTTGATGGCATGGTTATTTCAATTTGGATCATAACATTACTACCCCTATTAAAAAATCAACCTTGTCCTCAAGGTTAAAATTATAACAATGCATATAAGTGATAAAAGCATCCTTTCAAGTGACTTCCATGTTAGGTGGATCTTCATAATGAAAATAAAATAACAATTTGAATCCAATTTAACAAATGTGGCATTAAACAATTTATAAAACTTTGGTGCAATTGGTTGTGCTTTAGTCCAAACAATTATTTCACATGTTACAAATGTATTGAGTCTTTCGTTGTTTATGACATTGGGTTATAAGGTTTGAATTACAACCACACATATTGCATCTAATATATATCCTAAATTAAAAAAAACACGTGTCTTTGTAATTCAGTCCATTGATAGGTCTCTCATATAACTTTTCAAAGAAAATAGGGTGAAAGAGAAGACATCATGTGTTGCATGGACATGAGCTAAGCAATTATCATTCCTATTGGCAGCCAAGGAACAAGGGAGATCCTTACTAAATAACTTATCATTAGAAACAAACATTATCATTTTAATTGAAGTGATGTCAAGTACAAGAAGTTTGGCTCTTAAACCCAAGACAGTGACCTTCCCCCACCCTTTTCCTTCTTGGGAACTACACACAATTCTTGGAATGTGATTTTACCAACAAAGAAGTTAATATGCATTAATTTTATGGAATTCTTAGGAGTAACTGAATGCATAACAATTCCCTCAAACCAAAGATGGCAAATAATTTTGTATAGGATAAGGGTCATTGCACCCAAGTGTTCAATTGGATAGATTTTGTGTATTTTGAACTAAACCCGCTGTCATACCTCAAATTTGTTCGTCTTATTTTTTACAATCAAATGATTTTCAAAATTGGTTTTTTATAATTTTTTTGGTTTATTTACAATAATATTTTGGGTTTTATATTTCTTTTTAATTTATTTTGCTTATTTAAAAATATATCATAGTTTATTTTAAATTATTTGTATTTCTTAATTTAAAAGCCTTATTGTCCATAAACGAATAAAGTTGAAGTCAGCAGAGACGTCACTGTAAAAGAATCAGAAGTATGGGACTGGAGCAAGTCTGAATCTATTTCATGCCAGAACTTGACAGTTCTGAAGAAGAGTCAGTGTCAAATGATAATTTTGGAAACTCTGAAGATGAGTCAGATGGTGAATCTGATTCTGATCCAGATTTTGATGATGATCAAGAATCTGGTGGTCATGCTTTTGGAAGGGAAAACTCTAAAGACGTAGGTTCTGGAGGACAAGCTTCTGAAGATTATCATGTTTCTGGTGAAGGTTATGATTCTGAAGGAGGAACTTCAGAAGATAGAGGTTCTGAAACGGATCCAACTTCTGAAGATGGTCAAGTATCTGATACTCTTCTAGAATTAGAAAGAGTTTCTAAACGAGTTTAGAGGCCAAAAAGTATCATACAAATACGAAGGAGGTTTTCAAAGTTTGACATGTTACAAGATAATAAAGTAGACCCAGAAGGAGAAATTGTTTACTGTGCCATGTTAGTAGACTCTGAACCTATAAGTATTGATAAAGCTCTTAAGAAGAAAGTATGGTTGAATGTCATGAAAGAAGACTTGGAGGGATCAACTATAGTGGTGGCATTTGAGGCGCTGTGTAGGCCTTTGTCATGTATGAAGTAGGCCCGCCTTCTATCCTTTGTAAGGCTCGTAGGATTAAGCTCAATTGAGTCTCTAATGTTATACTTCTCCTTCACCAATCTAGGATTCCTTCGCAGCTTTATTGAAGCATGCTTGGAATTTGTTCTTTGAACATCGGGAAATTTGCTAGCTGGATTGATATCGACCAAAGGCGAAGGTGGAAATACATGAAATACAAAAGTATGAATGTACGGAAATACATGGGTATGCAAAAAATATTTTTTTGGCTTTTGAGGGTATGCGAAAATATTTTTATGGAGATGCAATGCAGTGCGAGGTTAGAATGAAGATGGGCCTAAGGACACCCTACACCGGTTTTAGGGATATACATACATAATGTGAAACCCCTAAAAGCTAGGGATTATGATTTACAAAAGATAACCCCTACATGCTAGGGATTATGATAAGCCAATGGACAATTGAGATAATGATTTGACTTGAGGGAATAGCATGGAAAAGAGCACATGGTGACCGATCAATAGTCATCAAATCCTATGGCCTGATATAGGCCACATGGCATGCATCAACAAAGACGTCCTAAAGATAATGGCAGACAAAAAAAGGGAATCTCTACAGGCTAGGGATCGCGACACACAAAAAGGAATCCCTACAGACTAGGGGTTATGATATAGAAAGGGAAACTCTTATAGGATAAAGATAGTAATGGACAAAAAGGTAACCCTTGGGGTTTAGGGATTGTAGTGAGATTTTATGAAAGATATCCTTAGTTGGTAGGTTCCTAGTTCCAGCTTACGTATATTCTATCCTCTAATAAGGTGGTTTCCTTAAGGGTATAATGGATAACACTAGAGTGAAAGGCATAAGAGCCTCCCTTAAGTGGAGCCTCTTTGTAGACCGAAAATATCGTCTGTGGACTATGAAAGGTCTCACCATGAGATTTTGGTTTAAGGGCTATACAAAGAATCATATGTTTCATTCCAAAGTGCTACCCCCCAAGAGGATGTATCTTGAGACGTGTTCCTTTTTCAGAATTCCACCGACTCTAGGCGAAGTCGTCACATAAACTCATATGGATGATGTATCCCCTTAGCTAATAGACGAATCTTTTTTCTAAGGGTTTTTGAAAAATATTTTTTTTTTAAATAAAAATCCCATCATCAAATGAATATAATATGATAAAAATAAATAAATCAAAATAATAAATGAAAGAAAATAAATAAATAAAAGCAAAAACTGAAACATTAAAGATCCAAACAAAAACCATAAACCTAAGAGGAAGGCTTTTAAACCCTAGGGTTGGTCCCCAGCAGAGTCGCCAGCTTTAATAACCGGTTTTAAAATGAGAAGAGTCTCCACCATTAATTTTTATCCTAAGACGGAAATATAACGGGATAACCATAATTATTGATATAGAGATTCAAAGTTCTTGACTCACTTTAGACTAAGGGAAGGTGTTAGACACTCTTCATCTACCTTATTCACAAGGATACTTGGGTTTAGGTTTAAGGTTTAGGAATGGGGTCCTAATTTTTTAATTAGGAGAACTCGTCGCGATTTTTAAGTCGTGTATGCCTATGTATCCTCTTATGAGGAATCAAAGTCTCGGTTCGTAGTTTGTAGTGTTTGGTTAGTTTTTTTATGGATTGTGGAAATATTTTAAATTAATCCTTGAACCAAGTCTGGGTTTAAAATAGCGAAATCGTAGACGTAGTTCGTAGTTAATGAAAAAGATCTCCACAATCCTTTTTTGAAAATATCTTGAATTTAATTATGTTAGTAGAAAAAAAGGTTAGTATTTGATGGGTTAGTTATCTTTGATGTGTTATGCAATTAAGCAAAAATAAGTTTAAATGAGAAAAAAGATTCAATGAAAATTAGAAAAATAGGGTTAGATTTTAAGAAAATATTTTAATTAATAAGTAACTATTTCCTAATTATTAAAAATATATTAAATTTTTTTAAATAAAAATATAATAATTATTTATTAATAATTATGCAAAGAAATATGTTTAATGCAAAATTCTAAAGATATTATGTGAATTCAATAGATAAAGAAAATAAATAAATAAAACAAAATAATTAGAATTAATTAATTAAGTTTAAGGGGTATACAAATTAGAGTTGGGTGGTGTATATAAAAAGAAATTTGGGCCTAAAGTAATTTTGAACCCAAAAAGTCTAGGGGGTGCATTTTAGTGTTAGACAATAATTCCAAGGGGTGTAACTAATAAGGGCCCAAGTTCAAAAATTAAACTTGACCCAAATGCGTGAAGGGGGTATGGATTAAAAGAAGAGGGTCCAAACTCATCATTTATCATAATTCTAATAAATAATTAAATTATTAACAATAACTAATTGGTAAAAATAAATAAATAAATAAAAAGCAACAGCAGAAAGATAGGGGAGACGTACCGCCATCTCCTTCTAAGTAGCAACACAATTTGATTTACAAAGGCCACCAGTTATAATAACAACCAATATTATAATACCAACACATATTATAATAACAACATATATTATAAAAATATAAACAACTTATATTAGAAAAACAACCAAACATAGCTTCTCTTTGTCTCTCTCACGTTCACAATATTTCTCATTCTACCTTCTTTCTCCATCAAAATTTGAATCAAACCCAATACAATAGCTCTATCATTAAAGCAAAAAAGAAAAAGAAAAAATGAGGTGACACCTGACGGAAAGCATTTGGAGAGAGAGATTGATAGTGTTAGAAAACTCATCCTCCAATTGTGAGAAAATTTTTAGGTGTTCTGTTCAGAATCCTAAAATAATTATTGATAAGATTGTTGATCTCCAAATGATTATTGAGGGATACTTCAGGGTTTTTTTATTGTTGTTCTTCGATGTGAAGAGTAACAACTTTTACGAGAACTCTAATGAGTTGTTATCTGCAAATTATTATTGATTCTTCAAATGGTTGTTGATCCTCCAAATGATTGTTGATAGAAAAATTTTAGGTGTTCTGTTCAAAACTCTAAAATTAATAAAGAGAGTTGCGTAGAAAGAATGTTTGTGAGAGAGAGATAGAAAATTATTGATATAATTATCAATGAAAAATTATAGTGAAGAGAGCCTTATAAGTCTCCTCCTCCTCCTCCACTTTCACCTCCTCCACCATACGTCTATTAATCTCCACCTCCACCATCACCTTCACCTCCTCCTCCATATGTCTACAAGTTACCACCTCCACCATCCCCTTCACCACCTCCTCCATATGTTTACAAGTCTCCACCACCACCTTCCCCTTCTCCTCCTCCACCATACTATTATAAGTCCCCTCCTCCTCCTTCTCCTTCACCTCCCCCTCCATATGTACAAATCTACCCCTCCACCATCCCCTTCACCCCCACCTCCATATGTTTACAAATCTCCACCTCCGCCATCTCCTTCACCCCTTCCTCCCTATGTCTATAAGTCACGACCACCTCCTTCACCTTCACCACCCCCTCCATACTACTACAAATCTCAACCTCCACCTTCTCCATCGCCTCCTCCACCATATGTCTACAAGTCACCGCCACCTCCTTCACCTTCACCACCATATCCTTATGTTTACAAGTCTCCACCTCCACTATCTCCATCACCTCCTCCATATCATCCCTACCTCTATAACTCACCCCCACCTCCAGTCTATTAATCTTCTGGCTAAAGTCGTGTGAAATTTTTTAATAAATTATGTTATACATTGTTGTTATTAATTTGTATTTAAACTTTTATTTGTTAATAAAACAATCTACATTGGATTAAGAGCTAATTTTGGTTCTATTGTAATTGTTTATGTACGGTGCTAATTCAGAAGTCTATATTATCTATTTCCTTTAGTTGTTTTTGTGTTTTACATATTGTTATTTACTTATAACTTCATATAACATCAACACACAAAATTATATATTGTTAAACTCTTGTTTGTCACCAAATACTATTTGATTATTTAATCTAGTGAAGTCTTGTTACCATTCATATGCATAAGACGAATATATACTGACTCGAAACAAATAAAAGTATACCAAAACAAATTAGTATACCTATAGTAAATTAACAATATTATTAGTGCAAATTTCACTCAATCAATCAAACCTACATATAATAATTGTATTGGTTGTACCAAATAATAAAACTATGAGTTTAGTATTGTCTCTGTTGATATTAGATTCTTAAGAATTACACAATTTTGACTGAATGAAGGCTGAAAAAGTGGGTAACATATGAGTTTGCATTGATTAAAAGTAATAAACATCCTTCAAGCATATGTTTTTATATGCAATGTATGTAATTGATTAAATGAATGAACATAATTGAAATCATAAGAATAAAACACAAATAGTTTGATCTATCTTTTATAAAAAAAATTGAGTCAAGAAGTGAATGGAACTCAAGTAATTAACCATCATCTACCTGCAATGAAGTGAATGGAACACAAATTTGGTTCCCTAGCAAGAACTTTGAGCATTGGAGAAACCTGAATATGTATTAAATTGGCATATTATACTTGCAAAAAGTATGTAAAGAAATATTAGTATATCATTTCACCTAAACAGTAACGCATCATCATTGAATAATTGTAAAGATGATAAAAAAAACAAAAGAAAACCATTTACATTGAAAATCATAGGTAGAAAATTACTCCATTGAGCAACATCCATTTTCGCTGCAGCCTCGTAGTTTTTTGGCAGTAACATCTCTAAAACCAAACTATTGTCGGCCTTCAGAAGAGAGATTGAGCTGACGCGTTCATGCACCCCCACTTTGCATTTTGGAAAGCTAGGTACGTGTAAAGGTTTATCCCTTTACAAATGTTGAATGCAGAAAAAGTATAGATAATAGATGAAATATCGCTTTGAATAGCAATTATTAAAAAACATAAATCAAGTGAATACAATGTAAAATAAAAAAGTAAGTAACTATTAGAAAGATAGAATATTAAGTATAAAACTTAATCATCACTCTCAATAGAGTACCAAAGGGGAGAGAGGAGTGATTCATCAATTTTCTTCCATGCCTTTGTTGCCAATTAATGCTCCCTTTTATAGAAGGATAAGAGAATATTTCTTGTTAACTTTATTCTCTTAATTGCTGGATCAAGTGACATGTGTCTCTTTTCTCTATCCATTTTAGTGATTCACTTTGATGGCATGGTTATTTCAATTTGGATCATAACATTACTACCCCTATTAAAAAATCAACCATGTCCTCAAGGTTGAAATCATAACAATGCATATAAGTGATAAAATCATCCTTTCAAGTGACTTCAATGTTAGATGGATATTCATAATGAATATAAAATAACAATCTGAATCCCATTTAAAAAATGTGGCATTAAACAATTTATAAAACTTTGGTGCAATTGGTTGTGGTTTAGTCCAAACAATTATTGCCCATGTTACAAATGTATTGAGTCTTTCGTTGTTTATGACATTAGGTTATAAGGTTTGAATTACAGCCACACATCTTGCATGTAATATATATCCTAAATTACAAAAGTATGTGTCTTTGTAATTCAGTCCATTGATAGGTCTCTCATATAACTTTTCAAAGAAAATAGGGTGAAAGAGAAGACATTATGTGTTGCATGGGCATGAGTTAAGCAATTATCATTCCTATTGGCAGCCAAGGAACAAGGGAGATCCTTACTAAAAACTCATCATTAGAAACAAACATTACCATTTGAATTGTAGTGATGTCAAGTACAAGAAGTTTGTCTCTTAAACCCAAGACAATGACCTTCCTCCACCCTTTTCCTTCTTGGGAACTACTCACAATTCTTGGAATGTGATTTTACCAACAAAGAAGTTAATTTGCATTAGTTTTATGGAATTCTAAGGAGTGAATGAATGCATAACATTCCCCTCAAACCAAAGATGGAAAACAATTTTGTACAGGATGACGATCATTGCACCCAAGTGTTCAATTGGATATATTTTTTGTACTTTGAATAGAATGTGCTGTCATACCCCAAATTTTTCCGTCTTATTTTTTACAGTCAAACGATTTTCAAAATTGGTTTTTTTATAATTTTTTTTTTGGTTTATTTACAATAATATTTTGGGTTTTATATTTATTTTTAATTTATTTTCCTATTTAAAAATACATAATAGTTTATTGTAAAATATTTGTATTTCTTAATTTAAAAGCTTTATTATCCAAAAATGAATAAAGTTAAAGTCAGCAGAGACCTTATTGTAAAAGTATCAAAAGTATGGGATTGGAGCAAGTCTTAATCTACTTATGAAGATAAGCAAGAACTTGATAATTCTGAAGAAGAGTTAGAGTCATGTGATGATTTTGGAAACCTTGAAGATGAGTCAGATGGTGAATCTGATTCTGATCCAGACTTTGATGATGATCTAGAATCTGGTGGTGGTAATGCTTTTGGAAGGGAAAACTCTGAAGATATAAGTTCTGGAGGACAAGCTTCTGAAGATGATCATGTTTCTGGTGAAGGTTGTGATTCTGAAGGAGGAACTTCAGAAGATAGAGGTTCTGAAGGCGATCCAACTTCTGAAGGTGGTCAAGTATCTGATACTCTTCTAGAATTAGAAAGAGTTTCTAAACGAGTTCATAGGCCATAAAGAATCATATAAATACCAAGGAGGTTTGCATATTTTGACAAGTTGCAAGACACTGAAGTAGACTCAGAAGGAGAAATTGTTCAGTGTGCCATTTTAGTAGATTCTGAATCTGTGAGTATTGATGAAGCTCTCAAGAAGAAAGTATGGCTGAATGCCATGAAATAAGACTTGGAGGGACCACCCATAGTTGTGGCATTTGAGGCTTGTGTAGGCCTTTGTCATGTATGAAGTAGGGCCGCCTTCTCTCCTTTGTAAGGCTCGTAGGACCAAGCTCAATTGAGTCTCTAATGTTAGACTTATCCTTCACCAATCTAGGATTCCTTCGTAGCTTTATTGAAGCATGCTTGGAATTTGTTCTTTGAACATCGAGAAATTTGCTAGCTTGATTGATAGCGACCAAGGGCGAAGGTGGAAATGCACGAAATGAAAATGTATGAATGTACAGAAATGCATGGGTATGCAAAAAATATTTTTTGGCTTTTGAGGGTATGTAAAAATATTTTTATGGAGATGCAATGCAGTGCGAGGTTTGAACGAAGATGGGCCTAAGGATACCCTACACGGGTTTTAGGGATATACATACACAATGTGAAACCCCTACAAGCTAGGGATTATGATTTACAAAAGATAACCCCTACACGCTAAGGATTATGATAAACCAATAGATAGTTGAGATGATGATTTGACTTGAGGAAATATCATGGAAAATAGCACATGGTGACCGGTCAATAGTCCCAAATCCTATGGCCTGATATAGGCCACATGGTGTGCATCATCTAAGACGTCCTAAAGATAATGGCAGACAAAAAAAGGGAATCCCTACAGGCTAGGGATCATGACGCATAAAAAGGAATCCCTACAGGCTATGGGTTATGACATAGAAAGGGAAACTCTTATAGGCTAAAGATAGTAATGGATGAAAAGGTAACCCTTGCGGGTTTAGAGATTTTAGTGGGATTTTATGAAAGATATCCTTAGTTGGTGGGTTCCTAGTTTAGGCCTACATATATTCTACCCTCCCTATAAGGTGGTTTCCTTAAGGGTATCATGGATAACACTAGAGGGAAAGGCACAAGGGCCTCCCTTAAGTGGAGCCTCTTTATAGACTGAAACTTTCGTCTCTAGGCCATGAAAGGTCTCACCATGAGATTTTTGTTTAAGGGTTATACAAAGAGTCATAGGTTTCATTCCAAAGCCCTACCCCCAAGAGGATGTATCTTGAGACGTATTCCTTTTTCAGAATTTCACCGACTCTAGGCGAAGTCGTCACATAAATTCATCGGGATGATGTATCCCCTTGGCTAATAGACGAACCTTCTTTCTAAGGGTTTTTGAAAAATATTTTTTTTAAAAATAAAAATTCCGTCATCAAATGAATATAATATGATAAAAATAAATAAATCAAAATAGTAAACGAAAGAAAATAAATAAATAAAAGCAAAAATTGAAATACTAAAGATCCAAAGAAAACCCTAAACCTAAGAGGAAGGCTTCTAAACCCTAGGGTTGGTCCCCAGCAAAGTCTCCAGCTGTAATAACTGGTTTTAAAATGAGAAGAATCGCCACCATTAATTTTTATCCTAAGACAGGAATTTAACGGGATAACCCTAATTGTTGATACAGAGATTCAAAGCTCTTGACTCACTTTAAACGAAGGGGAGGTGTTAGACACTCTTCATCTACCTTGTTCACAAGGATACTAGGGTTTAGGTTTAAGGTTTAAGAATGGGGTTTTAATTAGGCGAACTCACCATGATTTTTAAGTCGTATGCCTATTGATAAGTGCAAATTGTAGCTATTTTTGTATATACTTTTTGTTGCACTTATCGACTTTTTGTTGTTAATATCATTGAATAAACCCGACTTTTGTATAAATACACTTAGTTTGTGTTTATTTGTGTTTTTGTGTAGATAGGGTATTGTTTGATGTTTTTCCATTGATTTTTTAGCTATTGATGCGTATTTGGAGCATGTGCAATAAAGTGTCGAAGACACGACTTAAAACACGCGATTTTGAGCAACTCGTCAACGAATAAGGCTCAAAATAAATGAATAAAAAATCATCAAT